CAGCCGTCATTGTTGTTTGGTGGGTCTGGGCTGGGGATTTGAACCCGCCACCTTAGGTGTACGTGGCTGGCGCCTTAGCCGGTTGAGCTATAGGTTCCGAGCCTACTTTGCCATTTTTTTAAACCAAATGGTTTGTCCTTAAAAGTTGTTCTTTTTTTTTTAGCAATATAATTATTACAGATAAAATTATATGTATCTATCATGTACATTTTGAAATATGCATATTAGAATGACTAGATCTAACTGACATAGTATTACCTGACATAGTTTTAATTTTTCTTAAAGTTTTCTATTTATTAGGTTTTGCTGATTGCGTATCAGTTATGTTATTTAACATGTCCCTCTGATTTAGTTTTCCTGTGAATCAGTACTTAGGTGTAAACTCATTCAAATTCAGTATTTTGTTAAAAAACTTCATTGGCAGCGTTGTTCACTTCCATCACGAAGTATTTAATGTTGGGCTCGCTCTCCTAATATGATGTTAGTGGCCATTGTTATCATGACCTAGCTTCATTATTGCATTGGAGGTTTACAAAATAGTGACAAATTAATCCTATAACTCCTCCATCTATTAACTGGACTATTTCTTTTTGTTGTTGTTGTTGTTGAGACAGAGTCCCACCCTATGCCCTGGGCAGAGTGTAATGGCATCATAGACTCACTGCAACCTCAGACTCAAGTCTGTGGGCATCCTGCTGCCTCAGCCTCCGGAAGCTGCTGGTATTACAAGGCACTCCCTCTGGTGCCTGACTGGGTTTTTTATTTTTTTAATGAGTTGCAGTCTCACTCTCATTCAGACAAGTTGCTAACTCCTGAGCTCAATTCTCCCTCCTCAGCCTCCCAAAGTGCTGGGATTAGAGGTGTGAACCACTTCACCAGGCAAGACTATTTCTATAGAGAGAAATTTTTACTTACTTTTTGATTATCCTGAAGTATAGTTAGGACAGAAAAGAAAGGATAAATGCCTATTGCATTCCCTTTACTAGCAAGTATTCAGAAGTGGCTGGTTTCTAGCATCCTCTAAAAGCAGTTCTCAAGCACAGACCCACAGGAACTGTATTAATGGGCCGTGGCATTAGGATGGTTGAGAACCGCTGCTCTGAAGGTGAATAATGATATTCTTAAAACAGCATCATGAATTTATGGATTCAAATATCTATTTCTATCTGTTGCAGTTATAATTCGTATTGATGCACAAGTTACCCAATCTTTGGCCAGTAGTAACCTCTTTAGTTTGGACCCTGAGTCCTTTTGAATGATACTAGATCTCTGCGAGCTTGATAGCATCTCTGCTTTCTGGTATAACATTATATTCCAGGCTAATTTTGTACATTGCCTGCCACAGAACTCTCAGCACCATTTCTCCCAGGAGCTCTGGTTCCTTTATGTGGATAATGACAGAGACTAGAGTCTGGGCACTAGAGTATAACTGTCTTTCAATTGGCCCCTCTTTCTGGAGTCTACTCTTGTTATCAGGATGTAAAACACAAATCTGAGCATTCTTGCTCAAGTCTTCCACTGTTCTCTGTTGCCCTCAGGACAAAGTCAGCTCATTAGTACCTCGTACCAGGTCCTCAGTAACTGATTACCTACCTCATACCAGGTCCTCAGTAACTGATTTCCTGTTCTTCCTCCTACCCCATTTTCTACCAGTCTCATCAAATCAGCAAAACTTATCTTTTTGGAGGTCCTTGAACTCCCCAGGCTGGCTCTCCAGTGCCTGTTCTCTTATGAATCCTTTGACCTGTAACATCCACTCCCACTGCCTCCCTTAACCTCTTTGTCTGCCTTTGATTCAACCTTTGAGATTTAGCCTTAGCTTTGGTGTCATATCCAAAGCACTTTCCCTGACCAGCCGTGCAAGGCTGAGGCTGTCTCCCACTCGCGTTTCCTCACAGCTCACTGTGCTTGAAACATAATGTTTACATGTTCTCCTTCCCAGCAGGGCGGTGAATGACTACAAAGCAGGAATAATCTTACCCACTTTTATGCTGAGCTTGGAAATAATGGAGGCCCCCCCATCTGATCACCACTAGGTGGGATATACCATCTCTCCTCAGTACAGAGGTCCTTCCCTTTCTGCCACCCACCAGGGTCTTTCTCAGTCTAGTTCAGCCTGCAGGTCTGCTAGGCATGGAATGAGCTGCCATAACCCTTTGCCATTTAACTGGTAATTGGTGGGCTGGCTGGGGGAAGACTATCCTGGGTACAAAGATTTGGGATGGAAATTTTGCTCAAATCTCTTCACATTTCCCTCTCCACCTTGGCTGGAGCCATAGCCAGGTTGTAGAGCAGGATGGGAAGGACGACACCAGCCCAGGACTAACCTCAGCACTACCTCCATGGGTTAACAGTGAAGGGCAGGGCTCCAAAGACGCGAACCCACATTCATTCTGGACACAGATCTGCCACTTGCTGCCTGCCAACATGACACTGGAAGTAATCCAAGATGTTATAAAAAATAACATTTTCTTAGAACATTGGCAATATAAACAATCCACGTAAAGCACTTTGTATGGTGCCTGACAGCGTACGCACTCAAAAGATGTGCCACATGCTTCCCCTCACCACAAGGACAAAGTTGGGCTTTAAACAGTGTTTAAGGCCAGCCTTTTCTCAGAGAGAAAAGATGGTAAGGCAGGCTTTGGGGAACAGCATCTACCCTTAGCTGGTGAAGGGGTATATGGAATCCAAGCAGGCCAACTAGGACTAACCTGGACAAACCAGTCAGTCATGGTCAAATTCTAACAGGAAGGCCTACATCTACAATGACCATGACAACCAGAGGGCAAACATGCTGAAACTGAATGACCTGATTATAATATAAGCTCTGGTTCATAACCTCACATCTAAACTATGAGGACAAGGATTTTCCTATTTTATTCACTGATGTAGCTAGAATAGAACCTGGCCATAGTGGGTGAGCAAAAATATTTGCAGTATGAAAGGATCTGACCTTTTTCCCATTATGCATCCCCAAATTCCAAAGCTTGGCTGCACATCTGAACCAAGTGCACATGGTCCTAAGCAGAACCCACAGTACAGGTAGGGGAGGGAGGACTGGAAAAGGCCTGAGCTATGTATTTGACAGAGAAAATTCCCAACGTTTGCAGCATGTTGGATGGAGTTAGAGAAGGAAACCTAGG